CGGGAGTCGGAACTAGTCTGAGTCCCGGCAGACCTTTAGCTTTGGAGGCTGTACGAGGTTGTAAACCAAGACAGGGTCGTTGTTCTACCAGCATCTCCTTTGAGCAGCACGTCGCACTTGTTCTCGAAACTGTTCTGTAGGCAATGGACAAAGCGATTCTGACTGTTCGGCCACGCTGCGGAGCGGCTTGAAGTCATCTCGCCGGGGCCGGGGCCGGCACCGGCAGTGAGATTCTACCCATTGAATCCCGTCTTCGTCTACTTTGATTGGAACGAACGTTAGGTGGGGGACAGCACGATTTCCCACACCACGAGTGAGAACATGCAGACTGGACGCCGCCGTCAAAAGGTGGCACCATGCCTCACTCGGACACCAGCACCTACCGTATGGTACAGGCCCAGGAACCAGTCAAGATCAATGCATTGGGCATCCCATCAACGCTAATGGAAGCTAAGAACACAGGATTGTGACGAGAAAGCGTGGAAAGATCCGCGAGCAGCCAGAAGCCCTTGCGTGTCCCACGGACTGGCGTCATCCAATTGCCCAACTGACCGGCCTCTCACCTGTCATACTTTGACATGTTGTACGCAGCTTCGTTCAGTTGCAGCAATAGCCAGTTGTAAGGCGTGGGGGACATGCCTCTCATCGGGGAGAATGCCGTTGGTGACGATGCTTCTTCTTGAAGATGGAAACCATTGGCTTATCCCCTTCTCGCTTCTCAGTTGGTTCCTGGAAAGCTGGTCCGGCATCGTTCAACTCCATCGCAATTCATTTTCCGATACTCCCGCCATTCGTCAATGGGTATCCTCCGTCTTATTTACCCCTCTTCAACACGCCCCATCCCGTCTTATTCACCCGCAAAGTCAATTGAGCATTGCTCCACTCCTACCGCGGACTATGCCCCGATTACCCTCCGGCACGGCTGGGATCACCCGACTGAAAGCTGCGAGCCGCTTCGTCTCCGTCGGCAGCTCTTCCAATAAGATCGCTCGCATTAAGCAGCAATGGATTCAATGGCGTCCTGAGCGGATCCGTCCCCCGAGGTTTCTGGTGGAGCGCTTCACGATGTCCCTGCCGGTAGCCTATTGAGGAACAGGAAGAAAGCAACGAGCTTTGTTGGCTTTCCCCGCGCCTTTTCCACTTTGCCCGCATTGTGAACCTTGGCTGCCGTTGTCGCTGCCGGGAGCTGTGCTCTCGCTCTTGAGCTACATATTGGTGGTATGTACACAGGACACAAGTGTGTGGTGGGTGAAACAAAGTTCAAAAAGATGTTGCCGCCCCCCAGTCGCCCTTTCCCGTTCCCCGCGTCTACTGCTGCTCAGTGAATCTTTTTCTCCCTTCCATGTTCTTTCGTTGACAGACTTCTCTTCTTGCTCTGTCACTATTTCAATACATTGACAAACCTTGGCCCTCCCGAACCTCGAGTGCAAACGAGTCAACGCGAACTGACGCAATTGTCTTCTTCCACCGAACCGAACATCCTTTTACGCTACCCAGAAGCCTTTACAATGAGCGCAGACCAAGCAGGCCACGTCCCTGGTGACGCCGAAGAGACCAGCTACAAGGACAGCCACGACTACATCCAGTTCAAGGAGCACCCAATTGAAGGTCAACTCAACCGGTGGTCGCACACAATCACGAGGGAACATGACTTTCCCGGCGCACAGGTACGCAAAACATTCAGTGAATCCAGCACCGCCGTCTCTTGTGTCACAGCAAAGTTGGGGAATGCGGGGTTGTGGCCGGTGATGCGGGGTGTCACCGCGGGGTTATTGAGAAAGCATACGGGAAGATGAAGGCTCACGATGTTGTAGGCCATGCTGTACGGCGCTGGCGTGCCGAACAAGGAGATGATGAAGAAGGCGCCGCATGTTGGTATTGCAACAGTGTGGTGGGAGGGTAATCCTTGCAAGTATGTCTTCCCTTCCAGAGCGGTTGTGAGTTGCATCGACTAACATGATTGTTACAGCACGCATCGTAAGCAGATTTCCCGGCTCGAAGGGAGTGCCCCAAGAATGAACTACAAAAGCTGATAAGGGAATAGTGCTCGATTTTGGCAAGATCGTTAAGAAGGCGGTTGAGAAGCAGGGCATGCTCGGCTGGCAGTTCAACACCGTGGGCGTGTCCGACGCCATCACCATGGGGGGAGAAGGTAAACTATCCCACCCTTCACTGCAATTCGCCCAAACAAAACACTGACTGACGACACCAGGCATGCGCTTCTCCCTCCAGACCCGCGAAATCATTGCCGATAGTATCGAATCGGTGACATGCGCACAGCACCACGATGCCAACATCTCCATCCCAGGTTGCGACAAGAACATGCCGGGTACGATCATGGCCGCCGCGCGTCACAACCGCCCCTTTATCATGATCTACGGCGGTACCATCATGAAGGGCCACTCGGATCTCCTGGAAAAGCCCATCAACATCAGCACTTGCTACGAGGCCCGCGGTGCGTTCACATACGACCGCCTGCACGCAAAGACCAACCCTGGCACGAAAGGCCGCACTCCCTCCGACGTTCTCGACGACATTGAGCAGCACGCCTGCCCCGGAGCCGGTGCCTGCGGAGGCATGTATACAGCAAACACAATGGCGACTGCGATTGAGGCAATGGGTCTGTCTCTCCCTGGATCTTCATCATACCCAGCCCTATCCCCGGAAAAGGCCCGCGAGTGCGAACGCGCCGCCGCGACTATCAAGATCACCATGGAGAAGGACCTCCGCCCTCGCAAGCTCATGACCAGAGCCGCCTTTGAGAACGCTCTGGTGCTCACCATGATCCTCGGCGGTTCCACCAACGGTGTCCTCCACTTCCTCGCCATGGCCAACACGGCCGATGTGCCCCTGACGATCGACGATATCGACCGTACCAGCAACCGTATTCCCTTCCTGGCCGACCTTGCCCCGTCAGGAAAGTACTACATGGAGGATCTCTACAAAGTTGGTGGCACCCCCTCCGTTCTGAAGATGCTCGTCGCAGCCAACCTCATCGACGGCTCCATCATGACGGTGACGGGCCGCACCCTCGCCGAAAACGTCGCAGACTGGCCCTCGCTCGACCCGAACCAGAAAATCATCCGTCCGCTCTCGAACCCGATCAAAGCAACGGGCCATATCCGCATTCTCCGCGGAAACCTCGCTCCCGAAGGCGCTGTCGCCAAAATCACCGGTAAGGAAGGCCTCACCTTCACGGGCAAGGCTCGCGTCTTCGACAAGGAGCACGAGCTCGACGTTGCGCTGTCGGCGGGCTCCATCCGCCGCGAGGACGGCAATCTCGTTCTCATTGTCCGGTACGAGGGTCCCAAGGGCGGACCGGGCATGCCGGAGCAGCTTCGCGCCAGCGCGGCTATCATGGGTGCTGGGCTGGATAACGTGGCGCTCGTGACGGACGGCAGGTACAGCGGTGCGTCCCACGGCTTCATCATCGGCCACGTCTGTCCCGAGGCGGCTGTCGGTGGGCCGCTTGCGCTGGTGAAGAACGGAGACACGGTCACCATCAACGGCGAGACGAATCGCATCGATGCTGTTGATGTTGACGAGGCGGAGATGGAGAGGCGGAGGAAGGAGTGGAAGGCTCCCTTGCCGCATGTGAGGAGGGGTGCGTTGGGCAAGTATGCGAGGTTGGTGGGTGACGCCAGTCATGGAGCTGTCACGGATGCGGCGGATCCGTCGTGGTAGATGTAGACATGTCTTTGGTATAGAATTGTAATTCATCAGTATAATTTTGGAAGCCAACTTGTTTCTCTGGTCGATTAGTAGTTGGTTCTTGCTCTGACATTGGAGTCCTAGGACACCGCCGTCAAACATTTCGGCTTTCTACTACAGGGCACTAGTATTGTGTATTGTACACCTCGATCTGCTCGATTGGCAAAGTCAGACGTAGCTCCCGGAAGCAATAACTTCGCCGAGATGCGCTGCTTAGCCTCACGTCTCGAAATCTAGAAGGAGAGAGTATGAAGTATCGTGTCTTTGTAGCAGACTGCAGTGTACTTCTAAGGAAGGTAAAATTGAGATTACGAGACATTACTCAGGGTAACTTTCATTCATCTATGAGGACTTGAGTACGGCTGAGCGAGCGAGCGAGCATTCTTTCATGTTCAAGTCAATCTGCTGCGTTGCGTTGTCTGGAGAAGATATAATGGAAAAGGGATAAGAAAAAGGGCTAAAGGAGACTTAGATATCGCCATGGTCTATCACAGGGCCAAGTGGACATGGCACTCTGAAACTGAATTCAGTTGTTCTTACGAAAGGTTGCCAGTAGCAAGATTGACCTATATCGAATCTCTGGGTGTCTGCAAGCTTTGCTGTCACGGGGCATCACAGCATCGGGGCATCACAGCATCGGGGCACTCATGTTTGGTAGACCACGTGTATACCATTGGCACTGGAAAGGCTGGGGCTTTCCAGCATGCGCTTCTAACTTTGAAAGCTCTCCCGAGGACAGACGTCGATATTTCGTTGTTTATGCGTCTCATACAGCTTGGTATCCTTGCGAGCGCGCGGTAAAAGGGGCTTATCCAGCACCCTCGTTCATCCTGCAGCATGTCTCCTCTCCCCCTCTCGCTCACTATCGGGGTTGCCATTTCTCCCGCCTTCCTCTGCTTTCGACAACTTGAAAAAAGACTTGTGCAGCTCTGGGAATAACCTGAGCCAACCATTTCTGTAGCTTTCCACCTCTCTATTTCATGCGTCGCGATTCCTTGTGGTGTTTGATGAAAAGGAAAAAAAAAGAAAACGATTATGGACAGTGGCCGAAAGCTTTGAAACCCTTAACTCCCAAAGAACTCGAGCAAAGACCTGTAATGGCGATGCCGTTACACCCATGCGTGCCAACATTAATGAGACACCCTTCTGTGAAGACAAAGAGTCTGACGTCTCCGCTTCGTCAATATACAATCCCTTCTTATGTCGTTTCCTCCGTGACTGGTGCCAGCGCTCGTATGCTGGCTGTGGCTCGTGACATCGTATACGTGTGCGATGCATTATCGTTGCATTTACGGGCTGGCCCATCCACCGGCAACATCGACCCATTCAGCAAGGCACGATCCCTCCTTGCCCTCGACATCGACAATGTCCGTGTCGCAGCGGCATCTGCATCCGACACCGTTCTCCTTCTCAGCGTCCCAGTTTTCCCAGTACTTGTCTTCCTCGATACGCTTCTTTTCGTCGAGGGTTGTCGTTTCGAGGTAGGGCTGTCTGGGCAGCTGTCGGGCCGGCGCATTAGCGGGGCAGTGCTGGATAGTGGTGTGTCGGTATCCAAAGTCACGGAAGTAGTGGATGTCGCGAGGGGAGAGGAGGGCGCCGGCTGCCAAGGAGTGGATGGGGGCATCACCCCACTGTCAAGTGTTAGCTTAGTTTCTCATAGTTCCTGCATCCTGCGGACTTACGCGTTCCATCCAGAAGCCTCCACTGCGGTCCATCATCTCGAAGAACTCTTCGTACTCTTTGCCGCGGAACCAATCAAGGCTGGCAATTTCGAAGTTGGACCAGAAATGACACATGTTGTACGACTCGCCTTCCATGGCCTCGGGGTCGATGTCGGGCAGGTTGTTGCGGTTGGGGTCCGCACGCAGAACTTCTTCGGGCAGAGGAGACTGGTCGGTGACAGGCTCTTCCTTCTTCTCGACGGGGTCGACGAACATCTCCCACAAGCCCTTGGACTTGAGGCCCTTGAGGCGCTTGTAGGCGGAAGCATATCTGAAGATGTTGGGGACAGTCTCGCGAAGTTCCTTGACAGCGATGGTGAAACCGTAAGTCTTGTTGGCATCGATCATGGCCCAGAAAGGATCACTGTGTGGTAATTAGCAAGTGCAACGTTGATCGATCAGAGTGTTCAGACGTACTAGGTGATGTCGCAGAAGTACTTGATCTCGGGCTCGAGACGCCAGTACCAGTTGTACTTGGCGAGGAGCTCGTGCTTGTAGAAGAAACTATACAGCGTTAGCATATAGATGAAGGGCTGATTGTTTTTCTGGAACATACCCAGAGTAGAAGCGGCACATGGCGTGGTAGCTCTCCAAGCCACCGTACATGACAGCGGCGTCACCCTGCTTCGCGATGCCCTCCTTGGCAACCTTATGGTCGATCCAGTCGGGGTAACCCCACATCTCAGGACCGACCTTGCCAAACTCGACGGGAGCAGACGTGTAGTTGGTGACAACCTCCTTGAAGGTCTCGTTGAAATCACCATCGTTCAGGAAGACGTAAGGGTAGTGATACCAGCGGTTGAAGTGACGCTCAATGGACTTGATGGATTGAATGACGCCTTCTAACTCCTGGTTGCGGGCCAGAACGACAAATGCACCGTTGGCCTTGGGTCTGCTCGTATCGGGCTCGAGGCATCCGGTGACGAAGACCTTGTCGTGTTCTTCGCTGATTTTTCTGTACACAGTATCGTTAGGCTTGATCAACTGAGGAATGTGTAGTCAGGTGCATACCTGATGGCAGGGGGAGCGCCCGCGGGCATCAATATCCTTCCAGGCGAGCTCGGGTGTCTAACGAAGAGCACGAGGATGAGGATGACGACGATCAAGGGAAAGAGGATGACGACGCCGAGAGGCACCGAGATGCTCGAGTTTCCGCGGAGTCGCAGCGGTCTTCTAAAGAAGGCAAGTCGCGAGGTCAATCTGTTCTGGCGAGCGGCCTTTGTGGTAGGTTTCTCGTCGGCGGTGGGCAGTTGCGGCGACGTCGAAGTCGCCTTTGCGGCTCGTCTAAAAAGATCCATGGCTACGGCTGCGGCGCACCGTGGCCGGCAGTTGTGTGAAGGAGGGAGGTTGTGTTTGGCGGTGTCGTGGTGGAGAGATGTCGGATGAGAGATGGGATGGCTCCAAGGGTGGCGTTGAAGGATATGTCGTCAAAGATTAGTAGGGCTGGTTGGATAAGGGGTGTGGAAGGCGATTGCGGTGCGATGCGTCGATTAATGGACCTTGGTTCCTTTTTTCTTCTTTGGATGAACACGCGAACCGCGAACAAATGCAAAGCCGTATGTTATCGAAGCAGCATACGCAGGCGAAAAACAAAAAGGCTGATTGACACGTGGATTGCGTGGGCGATGCGAATTGCGAAGGGGGTGCGGTACGTGAACGAGCGGCAGGGACGAGATTTCCCTCGAGCAAGGCGTCGGGTTTGGTGGTGGTTGTGGAGTGCTGACCGAAGACGGGGGGGTGAGAAGCTGAGACTGAACAGTTTTCAGACTTCGCGTCGAAGGCGGAGGAAAGACACGGCACTCGCTGACGGAGAGGGTGTGATGGGGATGCGGTAGCGGAAGCGGAAGCGGAGCGCGCGGTTGCTTTGCTAGGCCTCGCTGTTGCAATCAATGGACGGAGTCGACGGTGAGACTACTACCCTCGTGGTATGTGGTCGATTGTGCGTATGGGATTGAGCCCAAAGGTTCAAAGAGAGCGGAAGAAGGTTGGTTCTTTTCTCCCCAAGGTCACACACACACAAAGGGCCTGACGGGTTGAGCCGATTTGGGAAGTGGTCAATTGCGTCGAGCAGAGGGTCTCGTCTCGGCAGGCGACATAGGTCAGTGGCGTTCGCGAAGAAAAGAGGCGCGGGCGCTTGCGAACGCTATCGTGGGTTGTTGTCGTCGTCTCCGTTCGTCAGGTCGGAGGGGAGGGAGGGTGTTAAGTTTGGAGAAAGGGAAAGGTCGTTCGGCGGGATGAAGGGGGTGGGTTCGAGAGTGGGAGAAAGGAAAGGGAGTTGGAATCCGCCGGGACCAAGTACCTTAAGGAACCAACTTTTTTTTTTTTCTCGGGGATGTGGGAAGGGGGGAACAAAAGCTGACAGATGTCACCCGTGGATGGTTACGGATGAGGAGAGGTGGGAGAGGTGGGAGAGTTACGGACGGGATAGTTACTTACCTAAGGAGTGAGGTATTACCTTAGGTAGGTTGGCATTTTTCATGGCGATAGGGGAGCCGGGGGACGGAAGGAGACACGGTAGGCGCCTTCCAAGTCCCATCTTCCATTTTACACCTCAATGTGACGGCAGGCACCACGCCCACGGCACCTGCCACTACGACCACGCAATCCAGTAGCGAGATAGGGACGCCGTCTCCTGTCATGCACCTCACCGGGTCCCTCATAGCCTCAGTCAGAGTCCCGATCCCCTAATCACAACAATGCCATCTTTCCTCACAGTCACACAAGTTCACTCCATGGCTGCTCACCTCATGCTGGGCTGCCCATGGTCTAGGACTTGCAAGTTGACGGGGATGCCAGAGACCAGACCGGACTGGACTGAATCTGGATGGGAACTGCAACGACTGCAACTCAAGATAGCCAACCAGAGCACAGCAAGGAGAGGCAGAGTGGGGGCGAGGGGGGATTTGAGTGGATGCGAGCAGCTCAGGGAACCTCACGTCATTGGATAGATCGTCCCGCCAAGAATCGCGGAAAGGAGAAAGTGGATCCCCCTCCTTTTCGTCTGGATACCGGTACTCTGGCGTACGTATCTAAGGTATTTCCGTCGTGCAATCTGGACTCTTTCCGTTTTCATCACACTCAGCAGTCACCCTCTGCCACTTTCCATTATCATTTTCTAATTATCTGTCCTGTCCAGGGCTACGAAGCACGAATACCTTATGGACTTTCCAAGTTCTGCATCCCTTGCAAAGGCTTACATGACAATCCTGCATCCTGTCGGTCAGCAGCCTTTGGCGCAGAGGCTCAGACCTTTGCTTGACATGTTGCTTTGGCTTGCAATGGATGCCATTTCCTGTAATCTGGCAATCTGGCAGCTGCTGCCCTGAAGCTTGTCAGCTCCTGTCGCCTGCGCCACACTTCCCACCTCCCGTCTGCCCAATCGCCAAGCAGACAAATCGCACACCACCAGCTTCTAGGTTCCATCCTGTCACCATGGAAGGGCAAGTCCCCAACCCGATCCTGCTCCGATGGTGGCATTTCACGCCCAATAGCAGCCACGTCTGTGCTTCTAGTGCCATAACCGCATGCGACACTGTCATCTCCTGTGCCTCTGTCGTTATCGACTGCCCACAAGTGGCACCAGCCGCACCACCTTACCTTATTCATGAGGTTGTATTAGGAACCTAAGCGCGAGCCGGAAATAATACAGATACAGCTTGGCTAGCTCCGGTGATCATTGATGAGATTGATGAAGGCCATCTATCTGTGTGGATCACCAGATAACCATGACTTCAACTCTAATCACCATGTGGGTTACTCACATGTTGTGCATGACTGGTGCATGGCATCCATCTCAATTCGCGACTTTGCCAATTGCTTATTTTGGTGCCACTGGCTATTGACATGAGGTGAAGAAGTGCTCACCGGTAGTAACGCCCTGTCTCATTTTTGCCATATAATTACCTTATATCATCCTCCTACATTCTTCACGCCCTTATCAAGTTATCAAATGCTAAAATGGCTGAGACAACACAAACCTTCCATGCCCTTGACTGACGTATGTAATAGTAAAGTTTATCATCTCTGGACTGCTGAGCCTTATTTACATCTCAATCACCTAGGGCTCGACAACGACTTCTTTCTCTACTTTAGAACACCCTTCCCCAAAATAGCTCATGGAATTCATAGTATCTCAACATCTCATGTTCTGTATGAGAAACGATGGACCGATGATTAGCACTTTCTACCAATCTGAAACACGAGATTGCCTGGTGAAAGTTGAAAGTGCTTTGCTGAGAAATGCGATTCTAAGGACCTATGCTTTATAAATTACTGGATGGCATCAACCTCATCCTCTACCTGTGACTCATGAACGGTTACCGACAACCCTCACTTCGCCTTGCTGAACATCTTCTTCTCCGTGGACCTTATCTTCACCATGATCCTCTTATACAGCGAATCCTGCAAAACCGCAGGCACCAGATCCAAAAACGCCATCTGCACTGCGTGACCCCAGTACGGAATCAACACCGCCCTCCCGCATCCGACCCGGTCCAAGATGGCATTCGCAATAACCTCAACCGAAGGCCAAAATACCCGGGGCGTCATGAGCTCCGGCTTCGTTGCTACCGCCCCGATCCGCACGCCTATGACCTCGACATCAAACCCGTCCATCGACAGCTCCCTCGCCATGGACGTCGACATGGCGCCGAGGTACGCCTTGCTCCCGCTGTAAAACGACAGCAGCGGCAGCCCGTTGTCCGAAAGCGAACCGACATTGATAATCAGCGCGGGCTCCGACGACGCAGTAAACCGCGGAATCAGAATGGCGTTGAGCAGCGTCGGAAACAGAGCATTCATGTGCACGTTGGCCGCAACCTCCTCCATCGACGACTCGTCCAGCCTCCTCATGATCGGCTCCGCCGGCCCACCGCCGACATTGTTGACAAGGACGCGCAGGTTCAAGTTCTCCAGCGGCGCAAGCATAACATCCCACGGTTGCTGCCCGGACCCGAGAACGCCGGCATCGCCAACCATGATGCGGAACTCCCTGTCCGGGTTCGCGAGCGCGAGGTTGTGCCGCACCTCTTCCAGCTTCACGTCGTTGCGGCCGTGGAGGACGATGTTGAAGCCCCGCCGGGCGAGCTCGTTTGCGAGACCTTTGCCTATGCCGTCGCTCGCGCCGGTGACGAGGGCCCAGGCTGGTTTGCCGTGGACGGGGACGAGGTAGCGGTCGAGTTTGGATTTGCGGAGGAAGGGGAAGAAGGGCCATGCGAGGTTGTATGCCACGCCGACGAGGGCGATGAGCCCGACGGTTTGAAGAAATCCGAGAGAATCCATGGTAAGGTGATTAAAAGGGGGTACTGATTAGTTTCTCAGCTAGCTAGCAAACAGCACGAATGTGAAGGGAGAGAACTCAAGCTGCTTTCTATTGCTCACCCTGTCCCGTTCCACGCCCGACTACTTGTACGCTCGAGAGAAACGAAACACGCATGTGAATGGTCGGACCAGACGTCATCCAGCCCAAGAGGTTGTCGAATTGACTCTGGCCTACAGGGATGGTTCAACAACACCAAACGCCGGTTATTCATGCTCTCCACGCGTGGGAGTTGGACGCCCGAGGGTAGGTACAAGCAGCAGCCGGCTACCAAAAATCCGTAATACGGATACGCTCCATCATGCCATCTCGGAGCCAACTCGTTCCCCGATGAGCGGCTAGATGAGTAGGATCTACCCGCGGTCTACGCAAGATAGTCTTCAGAGCATGTCAGCTATGCAAGAGTTGGGCCGAACTCTGCTTCTCTTTCTTGGCTCTGTGCCTCTGCCACGCCTACCGGTATTCCCCCAGACCATAGCCTAGGCCGTTCGTTTCCACTCAACATCGGACGGAGAATGACGAGTGCGGAAATAAGGCCCAGCTTTTTGAGCTTGGGGGGTAATAGTAGTATTGATACAATGTCTGTACATACAAATCGCCGAGCAGTAATGGTACATTTTTTCGTCCTGTTTTTTGTGCTCTTCCTCCACACCAACAACCACAACTCTCCCGCGTCTACCAAAGGGTATTGTCGCGGGTAACCTTCTTGGTCTCCTTGCGCGACTCCTTGTCGGTGTGCTCAATGCGTTTTCTCGCAAGCGGCACCTTGAAGTACAAGGACGGCGACTCGCCCTCCTTGAGCAAGTGGCTCAAGTAACCGCGGTGGGCGGGGTCTCGGTAGTACTCGATATCCTCACGGCTCGTGGGGTCGGGCAATCTGTAGGAGAACGTCTTCTTGCGAGCCTCGGAGAGGATGCTCTCGACATACTCCTTGCCGACGGGCAGAGGCTTATCCGTGTTCTGAGACTCGCCGCGGAGGAG